ACTTATGATTAGTAAATCGAATAATAATATCATACACATAGTTCCCTTTATTATTTTAAAGAGAGCAAGAACAAAGGTTGGTGCAGAATAACATGAATTCATTTTATTTCGTCAGGTTCTCATCAGCTGCTTACAACCTAAAATATATGAAATTCAACGTTATTATAGATATTGACATACTTATACAACAGAGGGCGATGAAGTATGAATATATGTAACATAATGTGGTAAAGATTTCGTTAGAGTTAATGAGGTCATAAAATTTTTGTTTCGAATATATAGAGTTTGGGAGGGAAGGTTCCAGAAAATTGAAATAGTGATTAGAAATCATGGAATTAAAACACATTAGACGATTATGTAATGAAGTAACTGAAAATAGATTAATGTTAATAAAGAGAGATATGAATTGAAATTGGTCAGTTATGAGTGATGTAATTATAAAATTCAGAAAGAGTTGAAATGACGTAATAAAAATAGATAAAATAAAATAAAAGGGGGTGGGGTGAATGTTACCAGGGCAAAGAAAGATTTATTACTGTTTCTTTTTGTATACAAAGATCTGGTTTTAAACGTTTGATTGCTATTGCTTCCGCGAATTTCAAAAGGTTTGAATTTGGTTGTTTGTTGATCACCCTGGAGGACTTCAGTATATCGACTTCGTGTCCTGTGTCAATGAGATGTCTTGCGACAGCGCTGCTGAATGCTTTTAGTCCGTTTGATCTCAAACTCTTCGGAATATGTTCTTTGAATCGGACGTAGGCTCTCCTTTCTGTTCTACCAATGTAACTGCTTTGGCAGATACATGTAAATTTGTATACACAGTTGGTGGTAACATGAAAGGGATACCTGTCGACCTTTGATTGTGTCAAAGAACATGTCGTTTTGGACAGGACAATCAATTTAGCTGCAGGATATGTTTTTGTCAGTGCAGTTTTTAGTCTCATATTGATCGATCCTGTAACATTATCGCCTTTGAATAATAATAGCCAATAGGTCAAATAAAATCTTATATTAAGAGAAATATAAATATATATAATCTAGTTACCTAGTAGTTTTACAATAAGAATATACATATAATAGTTCCTACAAAGTGCCCATAATTTAATATTTTTCGGATACAACAGACACTACTCACAACATTGCTTGTAAGTAGTATGTTGTGAAATGTGACCTTGAAGTTGTTGGAAAGAATGAACAGTTTCGGCACGGCGTTGACAAAATATTTGGACACCAAATGTTTAAATTGTTCAGATTGCAGAACACACCAAAACATACAAATGGATGATTGAAGGCTTTGTATATATGTATTTTGTAAACCCATTGTAACTTCTCAATATAAACATAGATCCCATCTGCCTATTGTCTTCTTTCACGTTTCATGTCGTTGTGTAAAACTCGTACTTGGAAAAGGAGAAACAGTGATTAACATGACACCAAAATAAAAAGACAAAATCTGACAAGTGACCTTTCAAAAATACGATTTTAAGCAAACGTACTCATTTATACATCAATTTTACTGACATTAAATGATTAATTACCGAATTTCACAACTAACGGTAAATACCAAAATGAAATTGACATTGAATTAATACATAGAATATTATACTGAAAAAATGTCATATTTAAATAAAGTTTTATGTTAATCAATATATTACCCTTCAAACAAAACTAATATTCAACTGGACAAATATCATACTGAGTCGAACCATGATCTCGTGATTTGGATTGCATCCTAACATTTATTCTTTAACTGAGATTCGGTTACCACATATTTCGAAAGGAAAATCATCACTAGCATACTTAATCAAAGTTGTTCTTTTTTCAAGATTTGACCGACATCAGCTTGAAAAGTTCAATTTTTTGTTACTAATTAACTGCAGTCCATGTAGTGTAGTGAACAAGAACACGAGTGGGGGACAATCGACTGTATTTGAGCATAAAATTACAGAGCATCTCATTAAAATCTAAGAATCATATAGTAAATGCTTAATTTGCAAAATGTCCATCAATTGTCTCAAGATGACTCCGACTTCATTGTTCTTGAATTTTCATACGAATTGCATCCTGTTTCCATTCTTTACTGTTTGATCCTCTTGTCTCTCTGCTGCCAGACATTTTGTTCCTGACTGACGTCATATACTACTTACGTCGACATATGCAGCACACACCAAAGTAGTATGCTCGGTTATTGACAAACGAATCTGTCATCACATGAATATTTCTTACCGACAAGGTTTTTATTGAAGAAGTCAATTATTCATAATTCTATAGTTGCATAAGATGTGTAATGTCAATTTCTAATCTGACATCACTTATATTATTTAGTTCAAATGACATAATATTTGGTTGTTAACTTCTCAAGCGTAACCATTATTAAGGAATATACTATCATGTTTGTACAATTTTGAAATTCTCAAAAATTATTATCGAGAAGGACCTAACACACATGACACTGATCACTACCCATTGATCAAATCATTTGTAAATACATCTTATTCCTACAGGAATTCACTCACGATCCTGATAGCTCAGTGGTAACGTCTCTGACTGTGAAACTGTGTGACACGGAATCGAATCCGCCAGGTAGTACCAGTCCTATCAAGACTACTGGTAAAACTTGCTGACGAGTGTCAATACTAAACCTAGGCCAAGCAGATCTTCCTATCGACTATCTCCAACTGAAAACTTACATTACCAAGATATAGTAGTATACCATCCTTCCATTATCCCACAACTCAGAATGTACATATTTGTACTATCACTATAACATCAAACAGAACTTGTAATTGTTTATCAATCATTAAAATTCTTTATAATGATTATTAAAATTGACTGTCTTCACGAACAATCGATACAGTCCTTTTTAAAATGAAAATATTGCTTAGTAAGTTACCAAGTAAATAGTTTATATTATCCTTAAACCTAATGCTTGAAATAAAACAGTTCATTTTATAGCTAACATTATTAGCACTATAGAATTGTTTGTCTCATTATATACATATGTATCTGTTATTTGAATAACTTCTAAAACAAAGTGTTATAAATCTCGTTTACTTTCTCTAACGATTGATTTCTGATTTCTTTGTGGGATATACATCTTTTCATGTGCATATATATAAATATATGCCTATCTTTCATATTCATTTCTTTTCATCCTTTTTCTATGAAATAATCATCTGTAGTTGTTTATGTTGATGTAAAACACCTGGTATTGTTTTCCTATGAGACACTTTATTCCTTTGTTTATATATATACAAAATCTTTTCTTTTTTCATTCTATCACAGCACTTTCTAATTTCCTGATATGTAAGGAAAATCACTAACTGCCTTTCAAATGACATTTCATTCACGTGTACTTATCAACTGTCCATCTCAATAAGTAATATTATTCAATGTTGGCGTAGGTTAAAAGAAAGCTATAGGGTATCGAGTCGAAACATTGCATCAGTTCATGAAGTCATGAACAGTTGAATAGAACCAAGTAGATTTAAGCGAGAATTATCAGATTACATTTTGCGCGAATATTTTAACGAATGGTTGGAAACTTTAGCTGATATAAATCATTTACTGCTACACTGGTAAATCTACTTCTTATCTTCTCTTAGTTCCAGAATCATAAATTCGGCGAGACTATAATTTATGGATGAACTAATCAGGTATAAGATAACAGGTCTCGGATTTTGGCACGACATTCATTCATTTATTTAGTTAAATAGCGTTTTAGCATTATAGTTGATGTCAGTTCGTGATGAAAACCCTAAATCTAATTCCTAATCTTAACCATCAAATTTAAATCATAATCCTTATTCATTAAACTGTTTTATAATCACTTTTTTCTAATTATTAGGTGGGCACTCTCAAAGTAACTCTAGGTTGTTCATAAATTATAGTCTCCCCATGAGATCTTCTTAAACTTCTTGATTTTTTTTTCTTTTTGACATGTAATACTGTTCTTGGTATTTATTTCGATCATTTTGTTTTACTGTACTAATGTACTGTAGCAACATGAGATGACGTAAATATGTTTTAAATTTTATTATGCATATGACCAAGTAGCTTTTTCAGGAGTCTGAACAAAATAAATCTGTATTTTAATATGAATATTCAATGTTGTTTTTTTTAAAATCATACTCCTTTTTTTAGGCTTTCGGTTTATTAAATCATAAATTATTATAATAAATATTTTTACAAGATAATGAACCAAGGGAGTTAGTGACAATAATGATGTGAACTACACAATAATTTATAGTTTAGAACAATAATAATTTAATATTTAATAATTTATACTATCCTGTTTTTGATATTTAAACTGAAATTTGATCAGTCTTGGTTAGATACTATTGAATTCAAGTACATCTAGCCGACAAATCTTAGATAAGATGCAACACATGTTCTAGATTTCATTACGAATCGCATTATATTTTAAAACATTGGAGTATAATAACATGTGTATTAGTATTCGTTGACCAGACACTATCAGAAACAACCAACTGTGTGAGAGAACAAATCAGATCCCAAAGGAGGAAGAAATCAGGAAGAAGCGCTAGAAGTGGATAGGACACACATTGAGGAAAGCACCGAACTGCGTCACAAGACAAGCCCTCACATGGAATCCTCAAGGCCAAAGGAAAAGAGGAAGATCAAAGAACACATTACTCCGGGAAGTGGAGATATACATGAGAAAAATGAACAAAAATTGGATCGAACTAGAAAGGAGGGTCCAGAACAGAGTGGGTTGGAAAATGCTGGTCGGTGGCCTATGCTCCATTGGGAGTAACAAGCGAAAGTAAGTATTAGTATTCACAAAAGATAATGAAGATAACTGACAACAATGACAACGAATGAAATACACTGAACAGTAGAAAGAAACAATCATTAATGTGTCTGTCCCTTAATATTTTATATTATATTGAGCTGTGAGAATGTTGCTAAGTTCCATTTAACATGCGTTTATAAAAAGTCTCTATCTTAAAGATTTTCACTCATTTATATTCCAAAAGAGAGAGGAAGGTGGCTGATCCAAAGACAGAATAAACTGTTCAGAGTGGCTAATCAAATAATATAACAGTATGAATGCAGACTGATCAATTGCAGTCCTAAACAACAGTCGGAAGATACAAGCAAAAAACATCAAGTAAATTTAGAAAATACAGCAATTTTTATCTCACTAGCTAACCGCTAATAGTGTTTATATCAAATATAATCAATTTCTGTTATTCAGAATACATGAAAAAATCATATATTTCAAAATACGTCGATTGAAGTTACACAGTTACACCGTTGAATAGCTGCTCAGTGGTCTTCACGTCAAGCTTTCATGCGCGAGACTAGAGGTCTTGAGTTCGAGTCTCACGTGCGGAATTGTGGGTGCGTACTGTTGAGGAGTTTCGTACTAGGACGAAACAGTCATCCAGTGGTTCCACGTTTTCAATGATGGTCGCAAACGAATATTTAGTTAACCAACCAACTGCAAAACTTCTTCTTACTACTGACTCATCTTTTTCAATATAAAATCCATCTTTTTTTTTAAACTGATATAACATTTTCAATGGTCGTGTTTGTCCTTCTATCCACTCAGTGCGAAAAAAGTCTCCTTATTTTATAGAAACATTGATGTACATTGTTTATAAATCAGTATTAATTTTGTTTACATTCATAGTTTAACTGAATTATTAAACAATTGAATAATAATAATAAACTGAATAGATTAAATCGAAATTTTATAATATAAATAACTGTATTCTTGCTTTCTCTTCTTTAACGGGTATATTAAGTTAATCATATGCAATTCATTTCTATTTCGGTTGTTAACTTAAATTATTGATCATCGTTTGGAACAATAAGTTTATCATTCATCATGGATCAATAAATATTTAGTGGGAACAATAGAAAGTTTGGATGTGATCAATAGTTGTTTATTTTTAGTTAAAATATTCATTTAATCTGTTTTCTTTCCCTTTATCTTATGTATCTTCCAGTTATAATGTATTCGATTTTAGTGCTTTCTTCTATGCATATAATAAGATTAAGTTTTCCGATTGGCTGATCGATTGTTTTTCAACCTTTCTGAATTGATTACATCTATAAGTTTTGTTTAAATGTTGATAATGTTGTTGGACATATATTTGAATGTCGATTTATCTATTAGTGGCTAGTTACAAAGTTTGGGCTATTTACAAATATTACATATGTATATGTAGTTGTCTACGCAAGATACTCAATATCCGTTTGCTGTATATTATCAACAACAACCCACTGTGGTAGAGAACAAACCAATTTCCAAGTGAAAAAGAAATTAAGAAAAGATGTTGGAAGTGGATAGGACGAACATTACGGAATTCACCAAACTGCATCACGAGGCAATGCTTAACTCGGAATCTTGAGGGTTACTGGGGGAGAGGATGTTCATAGAACACATTGCATCGGTAATTGGAGGTAGATATCAAACAAATGATTAGCACTTGAAAACAACTTGAAACGGGAGTTAAAAGCAGTGTTTTTTGATAAATGATGGTTGGCATCCTATTTTCATTGACAACCATATATATACTTGTAAAATATAACTTTTGAATAATTACAGTTTAAATGTATAATGAAGAGAAATTTATTACAGTATTACACAAGGATATCGATAAGTGCCTAACTTTAAAATGTTCACAGTAATGAACAAACTTATTATTATAATTAAAAATATGTTTAATATGAGAAGGGCTTCATGAAATATACATTAATTGTGTCATGGTAACCAGTTTCATATAGTTTTCAGCCTTTTTTTAATAGGTAAACATACAACCTCTAAACTGAACTAGTAGAAGTGATGAATATTTTGGGTTTCAAAACTGCTTGTTCGTTGTACTCTCTTTCAGTCTCCTTTGGGACTAGACTAGTTTTGGAGACAACAGTAATAATCACAATTGATTGCCACCCAGTTATCAATCAATTGTGATTACATCTCAGTCCTACAGGAGGTCGGTCGCGGCTCGGATAGCTCAGTGGTAACGTCTCTGACTGTGAAGCTGGGTGACACGAGGTCGAATCCGCCTGGGAGCACCAGTTCCTTCAAGATTACAGGTACACCTTGCTGACGGGTGCCAAATAGCACGAAATCGGGTCGCCTACCTCCAACCACCATCTAACAACAGGATTAAACACACTGATTTCGTATGAACTAGAAAGTAGTAATACAGTCTTGGAATATATTGTAATAATATAAAAAGTCATTAGTGTAATTCCTACTTAACTTGATGCGGAAAAACTGCCAAACTCCCACTTTTATGCTTACTAAAATTCAAAGTGTCACTATATCATTGTCAAAAACAACAAACCGCCGGGGATCTTACTATTCTCAAATCTGGAGGAATAACTACCTAATTCATCTTGATCATTGTATCCAGATGAAAGTAACTGACAACTTTGTACGACTCCGAAATAAAGATGTTGTACTTTTCATAAGTTTTTCGAACTCTGTCTACAATCTACTCCCATTCATCACCTTTATATTCTTATTATTATTGGCACTACATTTTGTGTAACTGTTATGTTCGATGTCGTTGACCAAATTGTTCTATCATTTTCTTGGTGTTTTTTTTACTAATACAAGAACACTTTTCCAAATCTTTTATGTTTTCATAAGTTCAGATTACTCGATCAAGTCTCATTTTTTTTACTGCTCTAATGTTTGACATTCTTCTGTCTTGTTTCCAAATATAAACGAGAAAATTTAACCTTCACTGGAAAGTGCGTTTATTTTCATATGACGGTTAATTTTTTGGCTGGCTTAAGCCAAATGTATCTAATACTAGAATCTGGTAAAATGAAACAAACTTCTATAATTTCATAGATTAGAAAAAAACTAGGTAAACTACAATTTACGGACGTACGTTTTGCATATGAAAAAATCTGTTCGTCGTCTATAGTTGATGTAAAGCAATTTTTAGTGAATTCAGTACATTAAGTAAAGTAAAACTGTAAGCGATAAGAGTTAGTATACATCTATGTGCATTACTTTATCACTTCCGTTATATATATACATTATAAGAAGCTCTTTAGTTTTAGATTTGATATGATCAGTATTATGACTGACAACTCAACATACTAAGGAAATTGAATGCTATTTCTCAAATCTTTGTTTCCGTTATTTTTTTCAAACTAGCTACTTGTTAGTTTCTTTTAATAGTCCTATTTATAATTCAACATTAGTTCGTAGATTCTAACAGCATCACATTTATTTGTGAAGAGTATTTACATTCTTATTATGAACAGGTATAATATTAATGAACTGTTGATGATCAGAAACTGTTTGACAGCTAAAAAAAATAAACGTAGTAGTGCTGATTTCGCCTCAAACTAGAAACGATGATAATAATTATTTGTAACCAATGTGCGTACTTTATAGTATATTAAAGAAGATTGGTAGAACAACGGTGAGTACGGAAGAATTATAAAGTGGATGAGATTTATGTGTTACTGAATGTCACATGTAATCAAAGTATTTAGTAACATTTCTCGTAATTCTCTAGTCAATTTCAGTCAGAAGCGAATGAAATTTTCCTAAATGCATTCGCATTATATCTACCAATGTTTACAGGTTTTCAGTGGTTGTTTAATCAAAGTCCATTGGTTATGAGAAACTTGAAATCCAACAATCCACACTAAGCCATGTAGTAGTAACAATCATAATGCGCTTATTAGCGATTGACTTCACGAGTTAATTCCTGGAGTTCTAGTGGGAAACCGTAGCCATTTAAGTTCAACCATGAGAAAAATCTCATCAAAGGGAATGGATAACCATTTTGCAATATTGCAAACTGACTAAATCTTAAAGTGCAAATTGTTGGATTTCAAATCAGTAGTGCTGGACTATTGAGAACACATTACAAGACTTGAGGTTATGGGTTCGTCGATGCGCACTGAGGAGAGGTCTCATTAGTTTTATTTAGTCTATAATATGAATCTTTAATCTGAACAATCTTCACAACATTCTATTGTGATAAATTATTTTATTTTGAAAATACAACTATAAGGTGAAATAGAATACATGATTATTGGATTTACTAAAGCTATTATTTACTTACTTACTTACGCTTGTTACTCCTCGTGAAGGAGCATAGGCCGCTCACCAGCATTCGCCATCCAACCCTGTCCTGGGCAATCCTTTCTATCTCCTTCCAGTTGTTATTCATCTTTTTCATGTTTGATTCTATTTCCCGACGTAATGTGTTCTTTGGCCTTCCTCTTTTATGCTTCCCTTCAAGATTCCAAGTTAGGGCTTGCCTCGTGATGCAGTTAGATGATCTGTGTAATGTATGTCCTATCCATTTCCATCGTCTTTTCTAATTTCCTCTTCAGCTGGAAGCTGGTCTGTTCTCTCCCACAGAAGGCTGTTCTGATGGTATCCGGCCAATGGATGTTGAGTATCTTGTGTTGACAGCTATTTATAAATACTTGTACTTTCTTGATTGTGGTTGTTGTAGTTCTCCAAGTTTCAGCTCCATACAGTAGAACTGCCTTGACGTTCTTACTGAAGATTCTCACTTTGATATTGGTTGAAAGTTGTTTTGAGTTCCATATGTTCTTCAATTGTAGGAATGCGGCCCTTGCTTTGCCAATCCTCGCCTTTACGTCTACATCTGATCCTCCTTGTTAATCGATGACGCTTCCCAGGTATGTGAGGGATTCTACATCTTCCAGAGTTTCTCCATCAAGAGTGATTGGATTGCTGTTCTCCGTGTTGAATTTGAAGACCTTGGTTTTCCCTTTGTGTATGCTGAGGCCTACTGATGCAGAGACTGCTGCTACACTGACTGTCTTCATCTGCATCTGTTCGTGTGTATGCGATAGGAAATAGCTTATTAAAACTACAAAAAAAACGTTTCCAAGTCAATCTAAACATACAAGTGTTATAATGCCTGTTCGTCTATAGACAGAAAGAAAAACCCCAGTGAAATATATATATATATATTTATATTGGTTCGATACATAAATACACATGTAATAAAGATATCTGAAATGAACTGAAATAGATATACATGATTTTATGAATTTATGTTTGATAACGATGTATTTTACAAGAATATGGGATCCAGTCTACGATACATCTGTATTATTATTATTATTATTATTATTATTATTATTATTATTAAAGTTTGCAAATTATTTTTAATGTATTTCTATAATTGTAGAAACACTTGAAAAAATAATCAATAAAATGTAGGATTATTAATTTCAAAAGTAACAGGTGACAACATTTTCTATGGATAAAAATGTTTATTTCTATGATCCATAAATATCACTGTGATCTGATCATTTCGAATCAATATAGTTTTTAGCTTGAAAGTGACTATAGATCATGTAAATGAAGAGTGGAGCCTAGTTATCTTACTTGTTAGGATTCATTGAAAAAATAGCATCTAAAGCTTTAATAAATACATTGCCATTTTTTGATGACTTTAAATCATGTAACTTATATCTCTTTCAGATGTGTAACTTTCAAGCTATTCAGAGTGTGACTAGGTTCTTAGATAAGGTATATCAATAAAACACTTATTAGTAACACATTTCTCTTTGTATAGTTCTTAATTTTAGTATATTGAGTATATGGCTAGAAATGGTACACAGGACAGGAGATTAGTTCTTTTTGGATCAAGTTAGGTCAACATACCAGCATCATGGTGTCGATGTGAACACAGCGGCTTGAACCAGATTGCTTTCAGTTTATGAGTCCACGCATCACTTAATAAGCTAAAGGTACTGCT